CTCGTGGAACGGAACAACTTTTTTATATAGCATTTTTTCAAAAACTCAAGTCGAATTTAGAATTTTCCCACCCATATATTCACGAGCCGTCTATGTTCACCTTAAATAGTAACTTAAATAACACTAGTTTACAAGGTTTTATATCCAAAGACAAAAATAGTTAAATCCAAAGGATTTGGGTTCGGGAAATTCAAATCTGAAAGCAGAAAAAATCCATCACGTCAGGTTTTTGAGATATTTATATAAACATACCCCGTATTTCTTTTATTTTATACAACTCTTGTAATTATTTATTTCTAAATATATATGAACATATAGTTCTTTGAGCAAATTTGTATCATTTTAAAAGATCATTTACGTAAATAAATAATATGAGTTAATTTTTCAAGCTAGATTGTCATCAATGTTTTATTTAAAAATTTTCAAGTATTGATTTTAGAATAATTGGTTGCTTTTGAATTTTCTACGGGAAATGATAATAAAAATGTGAGGTTGGCCTCACAAAGATTTTTTAAAATGGTACAAATTTGCTCAAAGAAGTATAGGTTTAACTTTAAGAATAAAGAAGTTACAGGGGCTGTATCAAATAAAAGCAACACCCAGTATATATTATAAACAATATGAAAATTAAAAATGATTAACACTTTCTTTTATTGGCAGTACTGTCAGTTTCCTTTATAATAGACCAACAGTAACACACTTTCGTCCCAAAAACCTTGATACCTTCTTTTTAAGCATATTTGAACAGGTCTTCCAGCTTTAGGTACTATAATTTTACCACAACCGTAAGAAAACTGATTTGCACTTACTTTGCACGATCTCGAAGACATTTTTTATGCGACAATGGTCCATTAACATGAATCAGTTTAACACTAACAAGAAGGTAAAAGCAAAGTTCATTATTTTGGATTTATGAAAAAACCTGACGTGATAGGGATTATCCGTTTTTCGATTTGTTATCAGTAAGTAATTTAGAAGTAGAAAATATTTTTTTTATTTTTGGATACGAAAAAAAGTTTAAATTTGTAAACTAGTGTAATTAATTAATTATTAATTCTAGACAATAATGCTATTCTGACATTTCGAATGGGATTGACTTTGCAAAATTTACCTGCTAAGATAAAACTGATTTTGGCAAATGACATACTCTTTAAGAAAAGAGAGGGTGGGCGGGCGGGGCTAGGTACCTGTTAAGATAAGACTGACTTTGGCAAATGAGATACACTCTAAGAAAAATAAGGGCGGGTGGGTCGGGCTAGTAGCTGATAAGATAGAACTGACTTTGGCAAATGACATACATTCTAAGAAAAAAGAGGGTGGGTGGGCGGGGTTAGTAGCTGCTAGGATAAGACTGATTTTAGCAAATGACGTATCCTCTAAGAAATTTAATTAAGTTATTATAGGAAAAGACATTAGAGGCTCCAAAGCACCTTAAAATTCGTTCCAAACAGAAATACCTAGAACCTCTAGATTGTTTTAAATTAAAAAAAAACACGGGGTTCCAAAATTAATACTTAATTAACTAATTAATAACTAACTTCTAGATGATAATGCTATTCTGATATTTCGAATGGGATTGACTTTGCAAAATTTTGAGATAACGCTATCAAGTTTTTGGAAGGGATAAACAGACAAATTCTGATTGGCAATTCAACATGTTTATGATAATTTTAAAATATGTGCAAAATTTGTGGTTTCTAAGATAGATTGTAAAATATCGTTTACCATTTAAATTTTTCTAAAAGCCTGGGTGCACAAATATTAATAAATTTTGACATAGAAGGAATTACTTTACAAATTTTAGACGGGATTTAATTATTTTGTAAAATTTTGAAATGACGTTATCATATTAATTAAACTTATTTATTAAACACCTAAAATTTCAGAATTTTTTTTTTTAAATTGCTTACGTATCAAAATCGCCAACAGATAGACGATAGACCAACGACAGCCACAGGAAGCAGGAACCTATTCTCTCATGCTGTAGAGGTCATAGAACATCTAGAAAACATAAAAGTAGCTGTTTGACGGATGGACCTTATTGCAATAGTTCCTTAGTTTTTGCTCGGGAAGCAAAACAACCAATAAAACAGATTATGAAGCATATATGGTGTCTTAAGAGATATAAATATACTTATTACAGTGTTCTTTTCATTAGGATGATAATTTTTAATAAAAAATAAATAAAAAATATGTTTTTGGAAAAATCTTGAAGAACGTAAAAATTAGAACTGTTGAACGTTCAACAAATGTTTAACTGGATATCAGTATCTGTACAGCGCAAATCATTCATTCAACACCTGAAAATTACATTAAAATAAAAGAGTGTAACAAAATACATTAGGGAAATGTGGTTGTTCTTGAAATAACAAACATTTTTATTAAAAAATTACTCGAAAGGTATTTCCACAGAACTTCCCTCGTCTGAAGTACAATGAAACATCAGGTTTTCCGAAAAATTATAAAATTTGATTTTGTGAATTTTAGTTTTTTATGAGTATGATAAAATTAAAACTTAAAATAAAATAAAAAAAAAAAATGATCGCAGTTAATTTTAGGTCTCGTGGTGTTTTATTTTCGGATAAATTTAAAGGTGATTTGTTGCTGGATGAATTTGAAAAAATCTTTGGAGCTTTTACCCAGTGTTTACGTTTTACGAATCTGAAAAAGTCTTGAGTGCCGCAGTGTAGCATGGGGATCTTTTTTATAAATTATTTAAAAGAATTTTGGGGGACTTTGGTGTTCTGTTTTTGGAAAATTCTGACCTGACTTGTTTTTGAGTTAATTTTCGGACCCAGTTTTTTTTTTTGATTTGCCAAAATCAGTTTTACCTTAGCAGGTACTAGTACCGCCCACCCGCCCACTCTTTTCTTAGAAGGTATCTCATTTGCCAAAATCAGTCTTATCTTAGCAGCTACTAGCCCCGCCCACCCACCCTCTCTTTTCTTAGAGGGTATGTCATTTGCCTCATATCCTAGCAAGTACTGTTGACTAATTTTTACAAAAAATGATCAAAATTTGGAAATACTACGAACTTACTTATATGCACAAGGCAGGAATTTAAATATCTCTTATGCTTTAATGGATTTTTCTTTTGTTGTTTTTGTTTTTGTTTATAATTTGTAAATGTCTTATTAAAATGTTTTTTTGGTTTATTTATTAATGAAAAATAACAATGGACAACGATTAATGACTACTGGTTGTTATGGTTATTGTCCTAAAAAAATAAAAGGTGGATTTTTCGCACCATCGTTATTGAAAAATCAGAAATTAAGCTGGAGGTATTCACGCATTAGGTGCGTGCAGTGTTGCCAATTTTACTGTTATAAAATTACAATCTAATGTCTTTGCCAATTCTATTGAAACACCACCTGTTGATTTTGCTTAAAATTTAGCAATTGGTAACAGCTTTCAGTTGATTGACAACGGCTTTTAGTTAGAAAATTGTCTGAACATGAACGTTGCCAAATTTACTATTAACAAGTGGTGTTTCATTAGAAATGGCAAACACTACACATCATAAACAATTTTTTTATTATTTTTTTTTTTACTGAAGAGTTAATCCGTCATTTTCCAGACATTATAGACTCATTACATTTGGCACATTTGCGATAGGATTTATTCGAAAAAATTTTGAGATGACGTCATCAATTTTTTGAAAGGATAAAAAGATATTTTGATTAAAAATTTATCATTATTACGATAACTTTAAAATTCCTGCAAGATTTCAAATCATTCGGTTTTGCAGATTCAAAACTAAATTGCAAAATTGTGTTATACAATTTTTACCTATTATTACTCACTACAAATTAAAATCCATTTACTATGTACAAATATGTAGCGTTTTAGTATCTACATGATAGTCGTAATACACATATAAAATTTGACAACCGACATAAAGGGATAGACAGACGGAAATGGGGGACCTACTTTTTCGTTCTCTAGAGAAAATTTAAAAATAGCCAGTCGTCCGATGGACTCGATTACAATATTTCTTAGCTTACGCTCCGAAAGTAAAAATAATTCACTCCTACGAAAGTTTTCTACGACGAATATTGAAGTCGTTACTCTCTTATAGTGTAATTAAAATGATATATTGCAACTTTTATCTGAAGAGTATTAAAATAAATCTACAGATGTTAAAAAGGGACGGTTTGTGAATAAAAATTCTTTCAGTGTTGCTCCTTAAATAATAATCGTGCCAAAAACGCCGTCCTTTCATAACTGGCCTTGAATTTTTTAAATAAATATCGAGTGACTATTATTATTTGTAATTTTTTGGTAGGTTGTTATGTCAAAATTGACAACTGTGAATTGACGCACTAGCACGGATGCCAATATTCAGATTTGCCAACACAAAAATTTGCTTTAAACATTAACAGTCACCCGGTATTTATTGTTGTATCCTTTCTCTCTCTCTCTTTCTTATTTTTCAATACCTTTAAAAACTACTTTCCTGCTAATCTTAACTTCTGGTACCTTTTAAGCTTATCTGCCTCGGGTGGAAATAAAATACTCATACTACTATGCAATTGTGTAAACATTTCCACGATACCATGATTTGGGAGGAGAGCCAATGGAGCTCAAACAACATTTTCAATATCTCTTGGATTCAATAGATCTCTTCTAAATTAAAAAAATATGTTCTTAAAATCCAACCCTGAGGAACACCCATCATTGGTTTTTAAATTTTTCAACCATTTAACAACGATTACAGCTAGTTTTATTCTATTACGCCATGTTTGTATACATTTTTTTGTAAATTCCGTTTCAATGCGTTAAGGTCCTGGGTCGGCTCGTTTTCAGGCCCCTGAAACCCGACTTAACCCCGGTTTGTTTCCACCTCCCCAGTTCTCCACCGGGACAGTTCTCAACCCCCACGTTCCTTCGCGCCCCCTCCCCGTCATTTCCGCAGTCCGTCCCTGCCGCCGATTACCATATAACCCCTGTGGAGCGGCCACCTGTGGAATGGGTCTATCTGGGTTACGCTAGGTGAGGAGGCCTAGTTATACCAGCGACCACTTTCATTGTTACAATCACTCTCTCTGCAGAGTTACGGGGTGCAGTAAGCTTCGAGCGACGCTGGACATGTCAGTGCTATGGGCTTCCTGCTGCTGCTGCTCCTGCTAGTCTGTGGGTCAATGTCAGCGCACCAAGGTAGCGGCCAGCGGCTATCAGCCAACATTGGCGTAACGTGTGTTTGTGCAGATTGTGGAAGGAGCGTGAGGAGATCTCGGCAGCCCCGCGTCGGCGCCCTTGGACGCATCATCCACGGCAAGCAGAGTGTCAGAGGTGCTTGGCCCTGGCAGGTATGTACGGTTCAAGTACGCGACTTACGCAATTTTATTATTTCGCGACATTTTTTTCTACAAGTGGGTCATTAACATTTCCTGTAAACATCGCCGGCCGTCTTCATAATTTGTGGATTTGCATTATTCAGAGGCGGAAAGCTCGAGAAGTCGCAGTTGTTGCAGTTTTAATAAGGAGTTTTGCGCGTTTTTGATTCACGGGGGCGAGAAAGACGAGGAATTGGATAATTGGGGGATTTTGGCTGGAGGGTTTTTTTTGAGAAAAATAATGGAATTATTCATTAATTAACTTGTTTGTTGCCTTTTGTTAAATGAAAGAACAAAGTCTTTATTTTTATGAATATTAAGGTATAAAGACGTCCCCGAGAAGGCGTACTTGTTACTGTTTTAATAAGAATTTTTACGCGTTTTTAATTCACGAGGGTTTTTTCTAGAAAAATAACAGAGTCATTCGGTAATTAAGTTGTTTCTTGGCATTTGCTAAATAAGAGGATGCTGTCTTTATTTTTACAAACACTTCGGAAACCCTTTAGTCTTGCCAGAATGTAGTTCTAATAATTTAGATAAGTCAAAACTTTTAAGTTAAAGAGAAACAATTTCAAAACACGAAATTTTTTATTTTCCTAAAAATTCCTAACTAGAGTTAGGGCTTGGAGAGTTTTTTCCACAGAAAATAACAGAATTTTATTATTAACTTATTTGTTGCGCTTTCTCTATCATTTTAACATATAAAAAATATTTCCTTCCTACAATTTAGTTCTCAGCATTTAGTTAAGGTACACACTTTTAAGTTAAAATGGAAAATTTTCAAAATATGATTTTTTTTATTTTACTAAAAATTCTTATAACTAGCACCTAAGAATTTTAAAAACTTGCTCGAGAAGACGTATTTTTAAGAGTTTTTATAAGCATTTTTGCGCATTTTTAACTTACGAGATCGAAAACGTCAGAATTTGGAAAATTGGAAAATTTTGGTTGGACGACTTTTTTGAGAAAAATAACAGAATTTCTAATGACAAGTAATCCGAATTTATATGTCAGAAATGTTTAAGTTGAAATGGTACCTTTCCAAAATATGAAAATTTTGATTTTCTTAAAATTTCCTACTGTTAGCAACAAAGTCCTAAAGACGAGCTCGGGAGGACGTCTTTGTTACAGTTTCAATAAGCATGTTTCGACGTTTTTGAATCACGGCAACGGAAGCTCTGAAAAATTGAATAATTTGAAAATTTTTGTTGGACGACTTTATTGAGAAAAATAACAATTTCTAATGACTAATTTGTTTGTTGGCCTTTGCTAAATTAAAAGATACTGTCTTAATTATCCGAAAATCTTTTATCTTTCCAGAGTTCAGTACCCAGAATTGAAGAGTCATAAAATTTCAAATTGAAATTAAAATTTTAAAAATACGAAACTTTTGATTTTCCAAATATTCTTTTAATAAGTATTTTTGTGAGTTTTTAAACTCACCGGGGCAACAGCTCTGAGAAATTGAATAATTGGAAAATTTTGGTTGACGTGTAAATAATTAACTCACGGGGACAAAAGCTCTGAAAAATTGAATAATTGAAAAATTTTGGTTGGAGGATCTTTCGGGGAAAATAAAAAACAGAAATATATATTCAATAATTAATTTATCCGTTGCGCTGTGCTGTCTCTATTTTTTGAACATTTAAAAAATAGTTTGCTTTTATCATTAAATAATCACAATTGATATATGTCAGAAATTTTCAAGTTGAAATGGAAATTTCCCAAAATATGAAAATTTTTATTTTCTTAAAAATTCTTACAACTAGCGACAAAGCCATAGAGACGAGCTCGGGACGACGTATTTGCTACACTTTTATTAATCATTTTTGAGAAAAATAACAAAATTTCCAATAATTAATTTGTGTGATGGGCTTTACTAAATTAAAAGATACTGCTTTAATTTTTCGAAAATCTTTTATTTTCTCAGAGTTTAATACCCAAAATTTAAACGAGCCAAAAAGTTTCAAATTCAAATTAAAATTTTCAAAATACGAAACTTTTGATTTTCTAAAAATTGTTTCAACTGGTAGCTAAGAGTGGGGACGACGTATTTGTTACGGTTTTAATAAGCATTTTTGTGTATTTTTAAATTCACGGGGGCAAAAGCTCTGAGAAACTGAATAGTTGGAAAATTTTGATTGAAATGTCTTCGCAGAAAACAACAGAAATTTATTATTCAATAATTAACAAGTTTGTTGTTCTTTGCTGTCTCTATTTTTGAACATTTAAATAATATTTTGTTTTTCTCGCATTAAGTTCTCAGAGTTTATATTAATCTCAGAAAGTTTTAAGTTAAAATTGAAAATTTTCAAAATATGAAATTTTTGATTTTCCACAAAATTCCTACAACTGGCACGTAAGGCATAAAAACGTGCTCAATTTTGTGCATTTTTAACTCACGATATCGAAAGCGCCAGTATTTGGAAAATTGGACAATTTTGGTTGAATTAGTTTTCGTGAAAAATAACGGAATTATTTTTTATAAGCATTTTGGAAAAGGAAATCTAAATCAGGATTTAAATAACACAGAAATTTTTTAGCTAAAAAGGAAAATTTTCAAAATAAGAAAAAATTTGGTTTTCATGAAAATTCCTACAACCAGTAAGAAAAGCTATAAAAACGAATTCCGCAAGACGTATTTGTTACAATTTTAATACCTAAGCATTTTCCACGTTTTGGTGTTACGAGGACAAAAGCGCTGAACAATTTTTTTGGGTTTTTTTTTAAGAAAAATAATAATTCAATAATAATTAATTTGTTTATTGGCCTCTACTAAATCAAAAGCTGGTGTCTTTATTTTTAGAAAATCTTTTGTCTTCCTACAATTTACTGCTCAGAATTTAAATAAGTCAGAAATTTTCAACTTGAAAAGGAAAATTTTCAAAATAGGAAACTTTTGATTTTCCAAAAACTCCTACAATTGCCAGTTCATGGTGGAGAACAGCATTTGTTACAATTTTAATAAGCATTTTCTGTGCGTTTTTAAACTCACGAGGGCAAAATTTTGGAAATATTAGAATAGTTGGAAAAATTTTGATTGGAGGGTCTTTTCGCGGATAATAAATAAATAAATAACTTGTTTGTGGTCCTTTGCTGCCTCTTTCTTTGACATTTAAAAAATACTATGTCCAACCATTAAGTTCTCATAATTTAGTTCAGCCACAAAATTTTAGTTAAAATGGAAAGTTTTCAAAATACATCTAAAATTTTTGATTTTTCTAAAAATTCCTATAACTGACAACTAAGGCATAAAAAGAAGAGATGTATTTTGTTACAGTTTGAATAAGCATTTTTAACTCACGAGATCGAAAGTGTCAGAATTTAGAAAATTGTAAAATTTTGTTTGAAGTAGTTTTTCAAGGAAAATGACAGAATTATTCAATAATTAACACAAGTTAATTATTGAATAATTCTGTCATTTTCAACAAACAATTGTTGCTCTTTGTTAAATTAAAGGATGCCGTCTTTATTTTTAGAAAATCTTTTGTGTTATTCTCATTTAGTTCTCAAAATTTTTTAAAACCAGAAACTTCCAACTTGAAATTCAAAATTTTCAAACTTCGAAGCAGGATTTGTTTATTTTCCTAGAAATTCATCCAACTAGCACCAAAGGCACAAAAACGTGCTCATTTTTGTGCATTTTTCACTCACAAAACCGAAAGTGCCAGAATATGGAAAATTGGAAAATTTTGGTTGAAGTAGCTTTTTAAGGAAAATAACGGAATGATTAATTTGTTTTTTGTTCTTTGCTAAATTCAGGGAACTGCCTTTATTTTTTATAAACATTTTGAAAATTTTTTTGTCATTCGTCAGTTTAGTTCTCAGAATTTAAATAGGTCCGAAATTTTTTAGTTAAAATGGAAAATTTCCAAAATAAGGAAAATTTTGATCTTCTTCAAAAATTCCTACAACCAGCAACAAAGCTATAATAACGAGTTCTGGATTACGTATTTGTTACAATTTTAATAAGCATTTTTTTTGCGATTTAGAGTTATGGGGACAAAAGTCCTGAAAAATTTAAAAATTGGAGATTTTTTATTGGAGGGCTTTTAAGAAAAATAATAGAATTATTCCATAATAATTAACTTGTTTATTGACCTCTTCTAAATTAAAAGATGCTGTCTTTATTTTTAGAAAATCTTTTATCTTCCTACAATTAATTGCTCAGGATTTAAATAAGTCAAAAATTTTCAAGTCGAAAAGGCAAATTTTCAAAATACTAAGCTTTCAATTTTCCAAAAACTCCTACAACTGCCAGTGAAGGGTGGAGAACAGTATTTGTTACAGTTTCAATAGGCAATTTGTGATTTTAAATAGTAAAATTTTGGTTGGAGTAACTTTTCGGGGAAAATACAGAATTATTTAATCATTAACTTGTGTGTTGTTCTTTGCTAAATTCAAGGACACTGCTTTTACTTTTACAAACATTTTAGAAAATTTTTTGACTTCCTACAATTTAGTTTTCAGAATTTAGATCATTCAGAATTTTTTAAGTTAAAATGGAAATTTTCCAAAATATGAAAAACCATAAAAACCAGCTCAAAAGGACATATAAGGGCACAGTTTTAGTAAGCATATTTCCGCATTCCGGGGGCGAAAACACTGAAAAAATGAAAAATCAAAAGATTTTGGTTAGAGAGCTTTTCTGAGAAAATAACAAAATTATTAATAAGTTTGTTGCTTTTTGTTAAAATATTATAGGATGGCGTCTTTATTTAAAAAAAATCTTTTGTGTTATTTTAATTTAGTCCCGGAATTTTGAAAAATCAAAAACTTTAAACTTGAAATTAAAAATTTCCAAAATTCGAAATTTAAACTTGTTTTAGACAACTAATAAGTCCAATATGATTATCGTGTACGTGCAGGGTATTGGTATTCATATTAATGCCCGAAGCGTGGTAACATTATTCTTGTAAACAATGGTTGAAAGACAAAGCTCCATTAATCCAAAATAGCCCACACGTTAACATTGTCGTTTTATCTGAAACTGGTTGTTTAGATATAAATAAACGTTTTAGGATGTGGGGGTTTGAAACATAACAACGCTGCGTATGTGGATGATACAAGCATGTTATGCTTGTAAACAGTGATTGAAGTGTACAGAAAATAGATTTCAACCATTGTCGATGCGAAATATTTTTGGAAATTTGCCTTCAATTTTTTTCACAAAACAACACGATGATATTTTCAGAAATTTCTAACTGGTTAATTATGTAAATAGTATTTTGTACAAAATACGTTGCTACAGTTTAGACAAAAAATTACGTCCGTTTTAAATACAAAAAAAAAACGAAAAAAAATTGTAAGTTATATTCTTTATTTTGCAAAAGTATTCATGAAAATTCTCGTCTATAAACTTTTAATGCAGTCATTAAAACCTCGAGAACAAGCCACTAAAACTTCTTTAGATAAAGCTACTTAAACACAAAGTAGCATGAAGACATGATGTGGGTGGATAGTAATCTAAAATTTTATGAGTTTAAATGAATGTTTGAGCAAAAATGAAGACACGAAGCAATTTTTACATAGCGAAACTAGGTAGTGTTTTTAGATTAAATGAGAAATTCTATTATTTGTGCTCAAGTCTAGCCTGTATGTAACCTCTCAAATACATATTTGCATTTAATTCTGAGGTTAATTAGAGACATAGATATAACTAGAGTAAATACAGAAAGTAGAAGCACTCCAAAAATTGTATGCTTGTTCTTGAAGCTAATTTTGTATAAGCGATTAACATAGTCTGTCTCTTAGGATCCAAAATGACTTCATAAAATTTTAAGATAACAGAAAGTGACTTTCGCTGAAGCACTCTCTACTAAGTATTAATTTAAATTTATTGATAGGAGAATTTTAAAAATAAGAAATTTAATTATTTAACGCTAAACTATCATATAAAATACATAACCCGACAACTTTCTAAAGTCGGCGTTTTTGAGCAGTCTGACTATAAACCAAGTTAACGACCTTTTACATTTTTTTTAGCAACCGAGTAATTAACAGCTTCCAATTACACTTTTCTTTCAAAGTATAAGTTTCAATTTTGAACAAAGCTCGTAAACAGCATATTTTGTCCGTTGTAGTTGTACGAAAGCCAATAATAATGGATCATTTCTGCCAAACGCCAATCTCTGCCACTTTTATTCTTTATCAATGGACGACGAAATCCGTGAAATCACGTCGCCTACGGGTAAAAATATCAATTTTCTGTTTTGATTGGACTTTATCACTTTAATGCCTCGTTCCGTTGTAATAAATCTGAGTTTTGATAGCTAACTAGAACAGCTGTGGACATTATGCAGTTGTTTTTGATAAACGAAAAGCGCAGTTTAAAGCTATAACAATAAGTCTTGCTTTCGGTATGGAATGCTTAGCTTTGAAAATATAATAACTTTATAATTTAATTCAACGCCAGTTTAATCTGTGAAGTTCCTTAAGTGAATAAGTAATAGCTGATGTAAAATTTTAAATGGGGGCGTAAAACTTAAATTGAATTTTATGTTGGAGTCTACGCTGAAGAAAAATGTGGTTAGGAATTTGTTAATTCTAGGCTTGAGTTTGGGAAAAGTAAAAGTAAGAAGACAAAGGAATTAAAATACTTTGGATTTTAAAATTAGTTAAATTTTTTTAAAAAAAGAATGTCAATATGTGTTTGTAAAAATGTACAGCTCCGATTTCACGCCACAACTGCAAATTTACCCAGAAGTAAAAAAGCTCTCACGGCAAACATGAAAGAAACAATTATTATTCAGCTAGTGCCTAGTCTAGAAGTTAATTTTCTTGGTGACGCGAATAACTATTCGAAGGCGGGCATTCCATGTTTTCTAGTTACGCTTATGAGAATTAATTATAAATACAGAAAACGAGAAAAGTTTTCGAATGAGTTTCAAAATTATTACAATTTTCACCGCCTCATATGAATAGTCACCTCCACCACTCCCCTCCTGTTTGAAAAATAAACTTCTAATATTATTCACAATTACAATTTGCTGCAGAAGGATGTTCTATCAGTTTATGCATCTCTCGAGCTTTTCTCCGTACCTATCGAAATTTACGCTTCCTCCAGCCGTAATTACTATCTAAAAGCAATCTTTTTAACAGGTTTCCCTCCAACTATTACACCCTCAATTTGGGTTTTTGGGTCATTGGTGCGGGGGTGTATTGATATCTCCGGAGTGGTTATTAACAGCGGCTCACTGCATCAACAAGTGAGTACTATGGATAGTTTAGTTTGGATTCCGTTGATTGCTTCCGGGCAGATAACCGGATAAGTTTATGTAACGCTTAACATCACTTTCAATGAATAAACCTGTTTCGAATTGTTTCGAAAATGAATGTAAATTATTCAATAGAGTTACGATTCGTAAGTAGATGTTCGGTGTTGATTTTGAAAGTGTATGATTGATGTGTTGATTAAGTATGCGTATGGCGCATACTTAAAGAAATGTGCTACCGTATGCTACGACGTCATTCTGCATACGAAATTGTCGTCCATTCTGTGTCGGTATTACTAACCTATTAATTAAGCTTTCTATTAAAATGTAGCCAAGTTTTTATAAAGACGACATATCCGAGTTACGATCTTAATTAACGATAACTGTTTTACTTCCAGAAGTAAAAAAACGTGTAAGACTAGTAGTAAGCATGCGGACAATGTCCTTGCTATTTTAAAATTTCTCGTTACCTTTAATTACAACACTGAAGGTGCGAAATTTGCGTAATAAAATTAAGGAAGACTAATAAATCGTCTTTTGAATACTTCTACAAAGATAATCAACGTAATCGCTGATGTTTTTAACGACAGAATTGATCGTCTTACGTGCTATACACTGCGTTTTATGGTTTAAGAAAGTCGTCAGAGAGATTAATTTTGAAATGTTTAGCGTCAGCTAATTATCAAGGAAATTACAGACGTAGACTTCCAGTCTGTAATTTTTCCTTAGGGATTGTTATTCAAATTAGTTTTAAAGCTATAATTAATTAATGGGCGAAATAAAGAAGAGTTTATCGCTTGAAGTTTTCAACATTTAAACGTTCCACGGTAATTTTAATAGACGCATTCCAAAAATATTAGAGGGGTGTGTGTTTTCGTTCAATCTGCATATTAAAGGATCCAGGTTCCAAAACTAGTTCGCTATTAGTTATGCCATGTGATTTTGATTTCACTTCAATTCAATTTGTATGAGTTGATGAGCCTGCGTCCACATTTAAACAGTATAAAATATGCAAATAAAGGTCAAACGTAAGTCGTAAATTTTTATTTGAAAATTCATAAAAGTCAAATACATAGTGATAATTTGTTGTAGAACGAGTTTTATTTTAGCTGCCGATTTTATCCAGTTTGACTGAAAATGGAAAAATTAGTGGTTTAAATATCAGTCTTCCTTGGTGAGAATTTTTATCCGATTTTTATTAATCATAATATTTTATTTTTTATGTTTGTGTAAACACACATTTTATGCATTTTTGTTTTGATGCCATTTCCATTACGACTACGGCAGTCGTATTAATAATTAATGTCATATCTTAGGCTTACCGATTCTTGGAGAATTTTCTCTCTATTACATTATCTATGTTTATAAATATTGTAATATGTGTGTCTCATCCCATTCATATCTGATTCTTTGTACAGAAAATATTTCTCTGCGAACAAACGAATATATGTGTAAGCCCAGACTTCATTAAAAAAAATAAAAAAAAGAATTATTTTAGATATTTTCGAGACGTCTAATGAACTTCAGAGGCCTGAAAACTTCTAAATAACGTCTCAGTTTTTTCAAACGCAATTCAGTTTCTTTAAAAATGATATTCCGATGAGATAATTACTCTGAATTCTTCGTTAAAGCTAAGACAATATTTAATAAGTCTTGATTATATCTGTTCAAATTTGTTCCGACGCTAATATCACTAATTGTTTAATCCTCTGAATCTTCATTCCTTTTATACAACTCTTTGTGGCTTTTTATCCTGATACTAGAAATTTCGGCACTTATAGCCACAGTCGCACGATTTTTTTGTTTAATAACATTCACTTTACATAATAACATAGTTGCGAACATTCTTAAATATATTTTTGTTTATGCGAAAGTTTTGTTGTGTAATCGGACCCACACCTGGTATTAAAAAAAAATAAACTGGGTAGACTGCTACTAGGTTTATGTATGTCGACATTTTTTTTAGACTCGTGGGAATAATGTGTTTTCAATTTAATTTAATAGTTTGAGTGTAAACAACATGCGTTTGAAGATCAACATCCATTGTATTTAGTGTTTGAAATATAACTGTGTTTGGTTGTTGTTATATATTAAACATACAAAAAGTTTGACAAAACCTACATTCTATGTTTGCACGAGCAAATAACTTTTAACAAAAATTGAGTTATGCTACATTACCTAATGAACATCCAGTATTATATATAACATCAAAGCCCAACTTTCTTGTACAGTGTACAGTTGTGTAAAATTGTTCTAAAAATAACCTACCAAACCAAATTAAATTTATTTGAGATGAAATGCTTTCTGACGGTCTAGGACAATTCGGCGCGGCCGACTTGGCGCGGCCAACTTGGCGCGGCCGGCTTGGCGCGAAATATTTTGGCGCAAAGCCAACTTGGCGCAGGGACACTTTGGCGCAAGCCATCTTGGCGCGGGCCATCTTGGCGCGGATGAATTCACACCAAGAAAAATAATATAAATATACAAAAATTGCAGCCGTTGTTAGCATAACCTAATTTTTATAGTCACCAACGCGTGGAGGGGTAATGCCGACTGTTTAATGGACACACGGGCGCTTCGCGCCCTACACCCCATTATAAACATACTCCTAAACGTGGAACTTCTTGCTCCGTGGATCATTAAGTTATTGGAAATTGTGCGAATGAAACTGTGTATTTGGTTGCCTACATTTGGCATAAATAACAGGGTGCTAACCACAGTACGAACAAGAAATATTTTTTATATTATATGTCGACGTACTCGCGCCAAGATGGCTCGCGCCAAGATGGCTTGCGCCAAAATGTCCCTGCGCCAAGTTGGCTTTGCGCCAAAATGGCTCGCGCCAAGTCGGCCGCGCCAAGTTGGCCGCGCCAAGTCGGCCGCGCCAAATAGTCCCATTCCGGCTTTCTGATGTTTGAATACTGCTAAAACTTCATAAATTATTCAAATTAAGAAAAAAATAGTTAAATATTTTTACGAATTTTAAGTACTTGCAAAAAAATAATTTTTGAATTCATGTGTTGTTTTAAAAGGGTGACAAATGCCGAGAGAGCAATAAAAATATGATAAAAGACAACCATGGATTTTTGGAAGATCGGCTTTGATCCTTGAATTTTCAATTTTGAAAGTTTGAAATTGACAGTAATCTGGCAAGACGAAAATTCTGTCAATGACCAATTTTCAATCAACTGCTAATAATTTGTGTTCCAATAATCGGCAAATTATAATAAAACCGCTGATATAGACATAATATAGTAAAAATTTCATGCCACTAAATATTGTATTTTTTCCCAAGAATTAAATGTACTTATATGGAGTGAATAAGGGTTTGCAAAATTTCATAGCAGTCGGTGTTGTACATATACTAAGTGACATGGAAATCAGAACACCCAGTAATAGTAAAAATATTTTAATAATTTATTGTCTAATTATGTATTGGTGTAAGATAAGTAAACGATCAGTTTTTTTGCCATATCCGTAGTAGTACTTGCCAAGATAAGACTAATTTTGGCAAATGACATATTCGCTACAAAAATAAGGGGGGGTGGGCGGGGCTAACACCTATTTGGTAAGATAAGACTGATTTTGGAAAATGACACACCTTCTAAGAAAAAAAAAGGTGGGTGGGCGGGGTTTTTGTCTTTGGAACACTTCGAATCGATTAAATGAAAAAATGTCACTTTTGCAGGCCAAAAATTCAGTACCAAACAAAATTGTTCGAAAATTTTAGTCCGGGGGCATTCATACTTTCTGTTTTTTAAATTAAAAAAATTTTTCAGTATTTTAACCAACTTTTCAAAAATCTCAAACTTTCAATACTTAAAATTACTCAAAGACATTTTCTTGTAGATTTCAACTGGCTCTTGTTGTAGATTACAACTTTGGGTTTCATATCTTCAAAAATTCCAATAATTTTTCCAGAACTGATAAACTGAAAAATGACAGTTTTCAAGACGTACTCGTATATTTGAAAAATTTCATTTCGAACTGAATTTTTCGAAAATTTTGGTCCAGGACCATTAACACGTTATGTTTTTGAATCACGTCAAATTTTGATCATATACCGTACCGCATTGTCGTAATAACTACGTATATCAAAAATTATTAAAATATGCTTTCTATTACTGGGTGTTCTGATTTAAATGTCACTGAGAGTAGTTTCTAAGTTAAATTATAAAATGTTGTTAGACAATAATTGTGATTTTTTATTAATTTGGTTTTCTGGGGTAAAAAATGAAGACGGATTCACAAAACACAACTATAAAAATATGTAAATATTTAGACAATTCAATGAAAATCTGAAGATTTCCTTAGTTCTCATCAGTAGTCTAGTAAATATGATGGACGTGATAAAAATGATAATGGAACTTAACAAGTCATTACCGAAACGTCTCTCTATATATCTCACTAACGTTAGAAATATGTTGTTTTACAAAATTTAAATAGCAGTTATTATACAAAATTTTTGGGATGACGTCACCAAATTGTAGATGAAGATGACCGGACAAATTTCGCGTACTACCTACACGCTATTCCTCAAATATCTATAAAATTTAGCAACAATCATTCCATTAGTTTCGATAAAAAATAATAATAAATAATAATAATAAATCTCCAAAAGACCGCAGACGGCAGACAGACAGACGCTTACATTCAAGAATAAAAAATTAGTCGAAAGTTATTTTGACAGAACTTCTCTCGCTTTTGAAGTACAATCCCACAAATTCTTGTTCTTCTAAAAGTTATAAAATTTGATTTTGCGGAATTTTACTTTTTGGTAGTATCCTCTATGGAGTAAAAATAATATAGAAGGTCCTAGTCACAGTCTAATAGAAAAAAAAGAAAGATTTCGCCTTCTTTAAAAAAGAACAGTTGGGACCCCCGAGAAGGTTTCACATTCTTAAAAAAGACATTTCGCGCCCCCGAGAAGGTTTTATATTTTTTAAAAAGACAGTTGGGACCCCCGAGAAGGTTTCAGATTCTTAAAAAGAGAT